ACCGGATGCTGCGTCATGAATGAAAAAAAATGCTTGATTTATCGTTAATTGAGGTTTGTACCTCGACTTTTCAGGTGAAGACTCCTGAGTTCAAGAAGTACTGTGAGGATGTTGTCACGAACTGCAAAGCGTTGGCTGCGTACCTGGCCAGCCATGGATGCTCCTTAGTTACTGGAGGGACGGACAACCACCTCCTTCTTTGGGATGTCAAGACTGACGGTTTATCCGGAGCCAAGATCGAGAAAGTTTGCGAGCTGGCTTCCATCATCGTGTGCTTCGGTTGCGCTTCTTATGCTTCTTATCAGACGTTCCTGTCTTGAAGCCTCTACTCGAACGGCATTATTACATAGAGCAGGTATATCACTGATAACATTGCTTTTTGGACTCTACCAGTGCAGATGGATGACCGAAGCGCCAAGGAACCGGAATGCAATTCCAACTGACACTTCTCCGGCTTCACCCGGGGGTGTACGCCTTGGTACATGTGCTATGACAACCCGGGGTGCGTGTGAAGCGGACTTCGAACGGATTGGCGCCTTTTTGCTGCGAGCGCGCGACATCGCGAATGATGTGCAATCTCGGCGCGGCACCCAGCAGTGCAGCAGGGCATTCGACTTGTCATAGAAAGTACAGAAGAAAGATCTCTGGGGAACAGGTCTGGAAAAAAGCTTGCAGATTTCAGCAAGAGCTTACTAGAGCTTTGGCTGCAGCTTCAGGCAGTGCTCAGATAGGAGAAGCTGCATGTCTGTCGTAAGCAACTCCACGCTTCAAGAAGCTCTTCGATCGAGGATCCCAATCTGCCAGAAAGGGTGGCTTTGCTGCATGGATTTGTGATTCCGCATTTGATCCCGTTTTGACCCGCTCACCGCTGCGAGGATGCGATTTCGGAGCTTCGGTCCGAAGTGGAAACATGGGCTACATCACTCAGCTTTCCAACGTGATTGTCCCCTCATGCGACACGAGTCGATGCGTCTCGAGTCGCTTAAGCGTTGACCCTTGTACAGCTCTGATCAAACCCAAAAGGTGCGAGAAAAAGCTGGCAAGTCACAGAAGGCTACGGAATTGCTCTTTGCGCTGTGCAGCTGGGATTTGCTTGCATGCTTTGCTCGCGAGCTTAAAGTGCGGCTCGAGAGCTGTTGTCACCATCCTCGTGCCCATCCATCGACAATACGTCAGTATCTAGGCGGCAAGTCGATTGACTAGCCGCAACGGTCAGGCATTGTCGGCTTACGTGAAGTTTTTGAACTGCAGAGTGAGTTCCTATGCTGCATTGCCGAGGAATGGATGCAGGAGCCGCCCAGTATTTACAAGAAAATGTCGGAGGAATCTTAGCAAAGGCGCTCGCAGAGATGGCGGTGGTGCAGCCCAAGGAAACCTGGGCAACGGTGGTTGATGCTTGTGCTATGTCGACTCGTTGACACTTCGCCGGCTCATGAAATTGACACGCGTGCACTTTCACCTCTGTAGCTGTGTTTGGCTCAACCGGTTTCCGAAGATGTAGAGAGGGCTCTTGTCAATTCCAAAGGAGGTCTGAACTCGCATCGTTCAGCCCTCCCTTGGCTGAGAAGCGCCCAGACCACTCAGCCATGGAGACAGGGGCAAATGCCAAAGTTGGCTTCATCACCGAGGTTGCATCTAGTCTTGATTATTGATCCGGTTGTTCAAGCAGGCAGACCCTGGGTGCATAGGCCATGGGAGCTTGTAGCATTAAGGAAGCCGCAGTGGAGACGCCGGAAGCAGATGCTTCGTCAGCTTTGGTTCAGATGGACGAGACGCCCGAGGCGGCTTTGCCATCTCCCTCTACAACCTCTCATCACGGCGTCTCGCGGGTTTCCTGAGAAGATCAGTTTCCTTGAGTAAAACTTGCTTCCACCTGCTCTTGCATTCAAGGTTTCTTTACCCTCGATCAACATCTACAATGTAGAGTATGCGGAGCTTCCTGCAGAATGTCATGGTGGTCTTGCAACTCCCGCGCCGCTGCCACCGTCAATCCCCTTGGACAAGATCATGAGCAACATCGAGCCCTGTCCCATGCTTCGTCCGGATTTTCTGTTTTGGCATTGCATCTGACAGCTTGTTGTTTCTTTTCACCAGAGATCCAGCAAAGGCGCAAAACCTCGACTTGAAGGGCTGGTCAGAGCAAGCACGGAACTTGTGGTTCAAAGACTTCAAATCCCAGTGCTCTCGTGCAGTCATTCAAGATGCCTTTTGGTTTTGTATCTGCTGGTATTTCAAGCCTGGCAAACACTTGGACGTGGAAACTCGGCTCTTCGACCGCATCTCTGCTAACTTTGTTGGCCTCTTCAGCTCCTTGAATCCCAGCAGGAAGGACTTCTTCTTCAGATGTTACGCTGATGCTGTTGCCCAGGCCGTTCTCTATGCAATGTTCCTTGCATATCCGAAGTCTCGAATCGATTTCACAGACAAGTTCCGAAAGGATCTAGTGATCCGTATTTCGTACTGGACATCTGGCATATGTCCTGAGTTTGTGGACACATCTCACTGGAAGTTGAATCTCGGCAAGGGGGATGTGCTTCAGGCGGCTCCATCACAGCCACATCAACGGAATGTAGAAGCTGCGAATGCTGTGGCACTCAGAACAACAGCTACGCAGCCATTGCTGGGGCAGCTGAGCGCTGACTCGCTTGCTGACAAGACTGCCTGGATGGGGCATTTCAACCGTCGCCCTCGTCGCAAGCTTCAGTATTCGCCGCTGGTGGAGAACTTTCTCCGGGCTAAGAAGTACTCCTCTGTGAATCTAGTTCGTGCAACCAGCATGCATATGACAACGGCTGAGCAACGGGCCAAGAAAATGGACGTGAAGCATGCGATGCTGGCCGAACGTGCAACTGCTGCAAGGGAACGGTGCGACAAGCTTTGCAATGAGTATGCCCCTTGTCTGGATTGGCATGTGCGGACACACTTAGGCACGGCAGGGTGCGACGAGCGACCGACAGAGACCATCAGAGACCGACAAAGACAAAGTGAAGTTCATGCATGCATGACAATTGGGAAACACAGTTAGGTACAAGGAATAGGCTCCGACTTTCATGGTGGATTGGGTACTGTCGAGCTTGTTTCTGCAGGTACAATGATTGGCATCCCAAACCTCATCCCATGGTGTTGTTTTCTTCGTTGGTCAGCATCACAATACCCGCATTGGCCCCATGCAATAGAAGGGATTCTATACACATAGCTATGTTAAAGCATCTACACACACAGGCACAGACACGTGAACAGCATGAGCAGGCCTTGTTGCGCTTGGGGCATGAGTGCCAAGGACGAGCTAGCGGCCGAAGTTCGCAAGCAAGAGCGGCAGTGCCAAATGCAGGCACAAGCAGCAAAGAAGCGGCTTGAAATCCGTAGAAAAGAGGTATTGCGATCTGATCCGCATCTTGTTCAAAGTGTAACGCTGCTTGTCGCGCTGCCTTGTTTCCCCTCCATGTTGCTTAGTTTGTGCTTGCAGTGCGCGTGCATTCACCTGTTTCGTGTGCTCACCGCTTCATATGCCAGCTAAGGCATGAGTACGCGAACTATTTGGTTTCGCTGCACTTGTTGCAACAAGGGCTTGGGCAGAAAGGATGATGCAAGCATACGGACCACCTGGGATTCTGGATCTGCTTTAAGCAAATCCAAGAAGACGATGAAAGTGCTCTGGTGAGGAATGGTTCTGAACAGATGAGCCATTCGTCTTGGCCTGGTCACTTCGATGCTTTCTGTATCACCCACCAGTTGGCTGCATGACCCGCTACGTGCGAGCTCACGTGGCGACTGTCTCAAAATCGGCCATCAGCTATCTAAAGCAGTGATGTCCTGACATTGCTCAACGGAAGCCTGGCAGATGCAGGACGGAGTCGACTTTCTGTCGAAGTGGCTAATGCAATATGCTGAACAGGAAGAGGCGCGGTGGAATGCTGGAAACTTCAGAGCACCAGCCTTGTGGATCTGTAGGCGAAAGAACAGAGAGAGCAGGTGCACTCCTCGGTGTCAGCATCTTTTGTTTCGTTTGGCAGACGGTGTCCGAACACAGTGCATGGACCAGGTGGAGAAAGAGCTGACGCAGCTAAGGTCACAGACCAGGCCGGTTGCATGTCAAGACTAGCAGTGACTAGCTGACTAGCTATCGTAGGGGCATGATGGAATGGCCGTTAGGTTGCTTTGTCGGTTAGGTCGAAGCGAGACGAGAAGGAGCATTCGAGGCAGGACTTCATGGCCTGGCAGACCTCCGAAATTTGCTGTCGCCTCTGAGGCAGCAGAAGCTGTCAGAGACGCAGCAGCTGGAATCCAAGTACAGCTCTCTCTTTGAGAAGTTTAGCAGCGACGAGATGATGTTTGAGGAGACCGTATCGGCTGAAGCGTAGCATCCGGTGGTGTTGAGCTTGGTGCGTCTGAGCATCTCGTGAAGGACAAGCTGTGGCAGGAGCTCGTTGATGTCGCGCAAGCAACGGCCGGTGCTTCGGCAGTATACCTGGGCATTCTGGAGCAAGGAGAGGAGGCCAGACGGTTTATGAATCGCTCGCGAAAAGACGTGGCAAAGACCCTGTCGAACAGGGCGGTGATCCCTCCGGCCCCTACATCAGCCACCTGGTTTCGTGAGACTTTTCCGAGTTGCAAGTCCGAGAAGCAGCCGCTGGTTTCATCCGCTCAGGTTATGAGTATGCCTCCAAGGGATCAGAGTGGATGACGGAACAGACTCTGGCTGAGGGTAAAGGCGGGACATTGTGTGTCCAAGCTGTCAACAGTCTGCCCCGCTTCGAGGAGTCACCTGGGGCGCCCTTACCGAAAATCCAGCCGACGAAAATTTCAAGGAGAGTGCGTCCATCAGGATCGAGTCATTCTGTGCCACTGGTCAACCCGTCGGAGGATCTTTGTCTTTGGAAGCCGCCAAGTGTAGAGCCGGTACCAGAAGAACCTGCGGAAGGTGCCTTAAGTAGCGAAGTTGTCATGTCTGGCGCAAAGGCTGACCTCTCGCCACATGCGACTCTTCTCCGCTTGTGTTTGAAAGTGTGTCTGCCAGCCACGAGATCGAACAAACCTCCAGGCAGCATAGTGAAGCTCTGATCCTGGGCCATCACTGGAGCCCCGACTAAGCCACAAAGCAGATGACCATCAACATCTAGATCATTGGTCTTTTTGATTATATTGATCGAATAGTTGAATAGCCTTTTTCACACGAGGTGAGCTAATGAACGCGGGAGTGAACTGGGAAGACATCACACAAGCAACGCCCAACGTTGTCTCGTTCCGCATGTTTGACTGGGATGAAGTTCCGGAGCAGCTGGGCGGACCAAACAAGGCCGCTTTGCAGGTAGAGGCCGAGGCCGAGGCTCGCGGAGATTCACGGAGTGGCGTAGTTGTCAGGCGCCTCCTGAAACGCCTGCTCCTCCTTGTTTCGTCAGGCCGAGCTCAACCGCACTCGAGAGGTGAAATCCGAGACGCCCGCAGAGCGCGCCGAGCGGCGTCGCCTCGAACGGGCGCATGCCAGCGGTAACAGCACCGGGAGTGCGACAGGCAAGTCCAACATGGCTAGTTCATGTGTTTGGGTTGCTGATCTCTCTAGACTCTCTACTCTAGCTTGTGGCAGATGCTGCAGGCCAATCCAGAGAGCCTAAGCGTGCTGCCGCGAAGCCGCTCGGAAGCAGCCGGAAGCGCGAAGTGCAACGTCCACCTTGTGTTGTGTGTGACCTTAGGAAGACCCCAGCAGCAGACACGCCGACCGAGCGGCTTGTCAAGGCTGCTCGCTCTGGAAGCTTGGTAGCTGTCATGCGAATACTTCAGACCGGTGTCGACCCGAACGCCGAAAGTCCCTTGCCTGGCATTGAACTCCTGTGACCTTGTTGGGTCAGGCCTAACAGGCAAGAATAAGAGCTTTGCTTTTTTTGGTGGGTCTGGGCCTGGGCATGGCCCGGCTGTGAGGCGAGCGTGGCACCTTCGCAATACAGGAAGCTGCGGCAGCAAACAGTTTGGATGCCTGCGCTGCCCTTCTTTTGCATGGTGCCGAAGCGCGATCTTTCGCCCGGTCTGCGATGCCCGGGTCTCCTGTGCAGCAGCTTCTGGAGCTCTTTGCTGGTCGCGCCCCGGGTCCTGGTGAGCTGCCCAAGCTGGTCAACTCTGTGGACCCACTGCTGCGACCACAAGTTGCGCAAAGTCTGATGAGCTTAGCGCAGTCAGCTATGGCTGGAGCACCTGCGCCTGCTGCAGCTCCTGCAGCTCCTGCCGCAGTCCCCCGCAGTGCTCCCTCAGCTCCCTTTGCTGCGCCCCTCAGCTCCTCTGCTGCGCCACCCCGAGCTTCTGCGGACCCGGGCCGGCCGTCGGGGGCTCCTAAGGCCCAGGCTGGCTACGGCGGGATGCCCCCCACTGCGACGAGGAATGGCCGAGACCTTCAGACGAACGGCCACATGGCGCAAAGAGCTTCTGCACCGGCTCAGGGGAGAAGGATAGAAGAAGTTCGTAAGGAAGGGCCGGCTCCAAATGGCAAGCCCCCGCGAGCCACGGGCGGGTCCCACGTTCCGCATGCGTCTCTCCTTGGGCGGGCAGCAGCTGCAGACGACCTTGTAGAAGTGACGAATCTTTTGAAGGCACGCGCGGAGCCGAACGAGTATGACAAGAAGGGAGAGACCCCTCTTTTCACTGCAGTTTCAGACGCTTCGCCAGACGTCGTCGCGATGTTGCTGTTGTGCAATGCAGAACCTTTGACAAAATCAATTCATGGAACCACACCGTGGGAAGTTGCGGCTTGCCGGCAGACTCGTAGCTTGTTGAGCTTCTTCGCTGGACAAGAGCTGGAGGAGACGGAGAAGACTCAGTTGTTGGATTCACTGAGCCAGGGAATGCAAGAGGCAATCGGCCATGCAATTTCCGAGAGGGCAGCAAATCGTCGTGGACTTCGGCCTGCAGAGGAGGTGCCAAACGAAGACGGGGCTCCAATCCGCCAAAGACCGTTGCCACCTTTGCCACCTGAAGTGAAAAAAGCTCGCGATGCAATGGCTGCCAAGGACTGGCTCTGGCAACCTGTGCATAGTTTCCGAACCGATACCGTAGCTGCACGACCTCGCCTGTTGAGCTTACAAAGCCCGTCGCGTGAGCTGCAGTGCAGGACCTGAGCCAGGATCCTTTGGCATGTGCTGCACGGACCGGCGATGTGGAGGAAGTTCTGCGTTTGCTGGATGGTGGACATGATCCGAACATTGGTTCCAGCCCTAGAATTCCTCAGCAGATTCTTACTGTAGTTTTTTTGACGATCGTTTGCCAGGCGATGAGTTGGGCGAGACTCCGCTCTTTGAGGCTGCTTCTGCCGGCTCCGTAGATGTCGTGGCAGCCTTGCTTGTGAAGAGGGCTGATCCTGACAAGATACTTGGTCTTCAGCTGGGCCGAATATTTTCAGCTCATACCTTGCGAAAGGGTACTGTAGGCTGTTCTGGCATTCGTTGCTGCCGTTTTGCCATGCCTCTAAGGAGGTCACTATCGGGTGGAATAGCTGCCGACTTGGCAGCAGACTCCGTCACCAGGTCTCTGCTCTCGACGTATGCTGGCATTAAGATCTCTGACGAAGAGATGCCTGGTTGCAGTGCAGAAGGCGGCTGAGAGACGTCCACGACTGGAGATGAAGGATCCATGCTGTTTCGCTGAGGAAAGCGGCAGCCTGCGGGGCCATCAAGGACGACGAGCTTCGCGAATCTGTCGCGAACAAGTTCCGTGCTGAGCATTTTCGAGGATCCGTCCTTCCCCGTTACATGCAATTGCTGCGTGCGTAGGGTACTATGCGAGCCAAACTCTTTTAACAGCTCCACGATTTTGTAATGTAGATGGTGGTGCGGCCGCGCGGCCTTGAGCGGATGCCTTCAATTTATTTCGGTTGCACAAGCTCCGAGCGTTCCACTCAAGGCTCCCTGTTTCACCTTGCTTTGCGATTTTGGCTGCATCGCTTTGGCCTTCACCAAAATCGGCACAGTCGCTTGCATGCCGTCCAGGAACCGTGCGTCAGACAGATTAAGACGTGCCAGGGGAGCCACCTGCAGAGAAACCCGGTGTCCCGTACTACCCCGTCAGCATCGAATGTGTGACTTGGCCAGAACGCGGAGCGAGTGCCGAAAGCAAGCTTGGCAAAATAGTCAGGTCACTGATGTGGAGAAAGTGCATTACTTCGACATGACGCGGCTTGGAGCCTTTCTGGCCATCCCGATGGTGTACCAGTCGTACTACCAGAGCTTCTCGGACTGATCTCGAAGTACACATCATCCAATATCTCATTGTTCGTTGTTGTCCTGCAGGTGATGCATACACGGATGCCAAGACGTTCGAAGAGGAGAAGAAGGCAGACGCTCAGAGGCCAGGAGCTGAAACTCGACAGCCCTGCACCTTCCGTGTGATGGTTTCCACAGGCGTGCTGAAGAAGCTGCTGCAAGAGCAGCAGCGATCGCGAATGGCGAGGTCTTGGAGGACGCGGAGCCTGAAGCTGTGGAGGCCGGCCTCAAAGCCTCAAAGGTCACTTGCGGAAGTGTGTGATACGTCAGGAGAAGCAGCTGGTCATGCGGGGGAATGATGTGAAAATGATTCTTTGCCTGGACACCCTCGGTGACCATCTTAGCTGTTGAGGTGTCGGAGTAGTGTCAAAACGCTCTCTCCCGAAACCGTGGCATACAAGCGGCATGAGGCACCAACACCTCCTTCGAGGAGGGAAATGCTGTGAAGGTTCTGGAGCTGGCTAAGGTGCGACTGTCTGTGCGCTGGGTGCACTGGGTGTGAGCTGTTCGCTAAGGCCTGTTGCCAGTCCAAGTCCAAGACGGAATTCAAGCAGGCGGGTCGGGCAGGGTATGGGTGTGAAGCTGCTTGCAGATGGAAAGACAGATTTGATGGTCAGGTGGATGCCCAAGTGTTGACCGTCATCGATGATGAAACGCGAGCACAACAGAACGAGCAGGCGAGCCTGGTAGACAAGCCTGCCACGGAGCGCACGACCCGTTCATTGATTTGCACTGTATGTCTTCTGGTTTGGCCACTGTTTCACAGCATGTGAAAGTTTGATGTTTCGTATAGATCGGTTCAAGCTGCGGTCGATGTCGGCATCCATGTCGGTGAGGATGCAGTGCACTGCAGCAAGCCTACGGACGGCAAGCGGGGCCGTAGATGTTTGTGCACAGCCTTGCTATGCTGAGTGTGCTCGTAATCACATTCAAGATCTTGAGCAGAAGATGTGGATGACACATGGTCCTCTGTCTCGTCACAGCCTCTTCGGTGTGCTCTGCCGACTTGCAGAAGTCGTGTTGGTTGCCCATGCCTAGCTGATTCAGGATCCGAGCCTGGAGAAAGTAAAGCAGCTTCCGATGTCAGAGTTCAGTCGCTGCGTCTTGTGCGGAGCACGGGTGTGGCCGGCTTCCCAGCAGCTGAGTCGGAGCAGAGCCTGGGTTCAAAAAAAGCACGGAAGCTGTGGGACACTTCCTACCCACACGCGGAGAATGCCACTGCCCGTCAATGAATCGGATCCGCGAGCGTAAGTTTGCTGGCGGGGGCATCGGGATTGAAGCGGCGGCAAAGTCCGGGTATTCGCTGGCACAAGCAGTCCAGCTCACCCCCCAGCTGTTAGCCAAAAGTGCCGGTGTTACAAAATCGACGGCCAGCGGGCCATGCTCTTCGTGTTGTCCCACTGTGCCGCTGCCTTCGTTTGCAATCGGCTGTGTGAAGACGGACGAGACATCGCGTCAGTGCCGGTCGGATTCGAGCAGGAAATGACTCCCCCCCGAAATCACCATCCTCAAAAATCCCTTTGGTTGAAGTGGAAGTCCCGAATCGTTCTGGATCCAGCGTCAATGCACGGACCAGCTGCTGAGCATGCTAGTTTTTGATGGCTTTGTTGAAGCAAAGGGTTGAGATGTGTGTGAATCTTGATTTGGCGCACTTCCAACATGTCGAACGGTGGAGGAAGCTTGCAGTCCATGCTCTACCCGTAGCGGAAAGTTACCGAAGGAGTTTGCTTGCACTGTGCCCTTGTCAGATCACCGAAATTGACGCGAACGTCGAGCAGATGCATGCAGAGCAGATAGAGGCTGAGGAGGCCGAAGCCACGGATGAGGCTAGAAAGGACCCGCACAACTGTCGAGTGTGGCAGCAATGTTTGCCGAGCGTCGCTTCAGACATCCTTGTCTCGACTCCCCCCAGGAAGTCATTCAGAAAAAGTTTGCCTTCTTGCGTGCTTTGGAGGTGGCGTGCTTGGATTTTGCAGGCATGAGTTTCTGTCAGTTTCCTTATTTCGAGCTGTAGCTTTTCCTAGTGAGGTGGCCAAGGAACTCTCCCCGATGATTGGCAATTTGACCAGCTGGGTGTACGCAACGCCCGAGCTTCTGAACGTTGTCGCAGCCACATGGCTCGACCCTAGCTCGACTTGTGCCTTTCACGAGCTGCTGCTCGGACGCTTGCGAAGATTTTTTTCAAGCCGAGGCACTCGCACATTTCGCAGGCTACACGAAGGCAGACATCTATCCCAGGAGAGAAGCTTCGTGGTTTGCAGTGCTTCTGTCACAACATCCCTACACCTCGTGGCAGGAGAAAGACGACCTTAAACTGGCAGCGCCTGAAGCAGATTCTACAGAATCCGGTTCAGTTACTGGAAAAGGTTGGCAAGGTTGAAGTCGAGGGTCCCAGGCGGGAGAGCTGACCAACTCCGAGGATGTGATCTCTTGACTTCCGCTGCCTCTGCATGCAGGAAGGGTGTTCTTCCGGAGCACCTGCATGCCTACATCACGCAGCTTGGGTCCCCTGCAGAAATGGATGCCGAGAAGGCGAAGGCCTCCCTGAAGCTTGGCTCTAAAAGTTTACCAGGGTTGTCGCTTCGATGCTCGCAGGAGATTGCGCCCGCCTTCTTCCTGCTCTTCAACGTGCTTCAGGTGGGTTGCAGAGTTCTTGAATGTTCTTGAGGCTCTTGGAGCCTCAGAGCTTCAATTCGGGTGCGTGTAGGCCGGGTGCGCCTATCGCACAGCTGACCTGGAGTTGCGGAAGGCCGAGTTCCGAGATCTCGTCAGTGCACAGACTTTTGCTTTGCACCGTATGCTGTTCCTGCTCTTCTGGTGGCCACCAAGAGGCAGAGTTCAACAAGCAGAAGGAAGAAGCGGGCGAGGTGGGTGTGTCTATGTGGGTGTTTGTGCGTGCCGCACGCGCTATTCATGACACGTGGGAAGAACCGCGGCACCCTGGATTGCAGTGGGCCTCACAGGAGTACGAGGGGCCTGCCTTGGAAGAGCTTGATGACGACTTCCAGACGTCCTGATACTGGCTAGGCGCCCAACAACGGATAGCTAACCAAATGTCATGTACCGAAAGAAGTCAGAAGGCGGAACAGATGCAGACTCGTGCAGGCAGTGCGCCGCATGAAGAGGGCTCCTAACGTGCTGAACTTCAGCATCTTGCATGCCGTTCTGTTTCACTCGAACCCTGGACCCCTTCCAGGGCGTCGTTTCACAAGTCTTGCATTTGCCTCAAACCAACAGCATGAAGCATGAAAGTCGAAGGCTCATACGGCACGGTGTCACCGAGGCGAACAGCTGCAAGAGAGCCAAACTGATGCACGTGCTTCCACGGCAGAAAATGGAAGTCCCGTTGTTTCTACATTTCTTTCCCGAGCAATTTCTTCCGAGTTTGGCCTCCCGATGGCTTTTGTGTTCTTTGGTGCTTCGCAGGGCCGTGTCGCAGCATCCGAGGCGAAGACAACATCCGACATTTGTGGTACCCTCCACGTGGCACAGGCAACGTAGGAGAAGCTCCTAGATCTGCTTTGCATCAACTGGTCCAGGCGGATTGCAATATTCCATTCCAGGTCTTCTTGTCGGTTGGGCTCTCCGAGACTCACCAGCTTTGGTTTGCTCGTCTTCTTCCTGCAGACTCTCAGGTCTTTGAGCCGCATTTGCGCGAGCTGGCAAGAACGAACCAACGAGGGCCTGCCGCAAGGCTCCTTCATATGCAGAGTACAACTGCATGTCCCCATTTGCTGGCCAGGCCACTCCCCGCGAACTCAACGAATCGCCTCAGACCCAAATTGCAGGTGGCACTACAGACTACCCTGCATCATTTCAGGTTAGTGTCGTGTCTCGGACCAGAAGATGCCCAAGACTCAGAAAATGCTGAAGCGCAGCACCACAGCCTAGGCCGGTGCTCCAAGCTTATTGCTACAGCAGCCCTTGCGTGAAGGTTCTGCAACTCTGTGCGAGAAGCTTCAGCCAATTCGACCGAATCAATTTGTCCACTGCGCCGTCAACCAAGAAACAGAAGAAGCACAGCTGCTTGTAGAACTTCGTGGAAGCAACAGTTGGCAAAGGCTGCAGCAGCTCGCCAAGCTGCGTGCTGCCAGAACAGACGATCCGTGCACAGCTCGGAAAGTTCATCCCTGGTCGCACCGGTGATCCTTAAAAGCGCTCAGAGCAGACATTGGCTCAAGACTGGAGTTCTCCCTTACTAGAAGGGTGTTGTGCCTTAGGCCCTAGGCCTCCGGCCGGGAACTCGGAAGCTGCCGGCTTTCCTCCAGAAAAGCGCAGAAGATCCGAGGCTCAGAATGTTTACCTGCTGTTGCGTAGATGAAAAGACGCTTGGCTTGCAGAGGATACCGAGCGAATCTGATCTTTGATGTGACGTAGAATGCGGCAGAAGCTTGACGTCGATGTGCATTCTATGTGCCGATGTGCTTAGGCCTGCTGACTTTGTGGAGTTACAAATGGACAGTGCCTTCCCAGAGGGAAAGGCTGGCCCTGGCCGCCCTGGAGTCAAGAGTCACGTCAGAGCTCCACTTGTTCAGGGCGCGGCCTCGCCAAGTGCTCCCGTGACGTTCGACACAAGGCTGCAAAGGCTGCAGGCTGTTTGCTTTCCTTCTTGGTTCTTCGCGTACCTGGGGCTTGCAATGAAGTCCTGCCAAACAAGGACATCTTCCTTGACCGCGCACCTGGAACCTACTTCGGCGTTGACCTTTCCAGTGCGGGAAAGGCCTTCTAGCAACTCTAGCGTTAAGTTGCTGTTGCCAGGCTTTGTCTCTTGCTCCTGCTCTGGTGCTGGTACGATCTTTGCATAGTCGACCCTTCGCCATGCTTTTGTGCTTTGCCTGTGTTCGAAGTCCTGGCTTAGTCTATTAGTCGCGTGACTTAGTCGCGTTCTGGGCTGGTGTCTTTGCATTTATCTACCCTGTCTCCGTGCCTCCAAATTCCTGTAATTGCAGACGTGCAAACGGTCTTGCTGGCGATAGCGGTGCCCCAACTAGAACTCAATCTTGCCTCAGCCTAACGGACAGTAATCGCTTGACCAAAAGTTTTCGTGAGGCATGTGTTGTCACCAGTGTCACCACCGACGGCCTCATCGCGGATTGGAACTCCAAGTGTAGCGAAGAAACAAAGGCGGATTGGCATGCCGTTTGCACGGGCTTGCATCGCAGCTACAAGATGGAGCTGCCAGGTGCAGAAGTACGACAGATTGTATGCGGTGAATGGTCAAGCAAGCGAGAAAAGCAAGGATATGCGACATGTCTTTGTAAGATTTTGAATCACAGCCCACTGTTCGAGCCTGAAGAGCTCGCCCTGTGCAGGAGATCTTGGACCTGCTGAAATCGACGCACAACAAAATGGTGCTCACCTTCCAGAGAGCAGTCGTGAGCGAGGCAAGTGCTGGATCTCGCGCACATTTGCTGCAGAGTACAGTGACGTGACGGAGCAAAGTCGCATCATGTCTTTTAGATGCCACCCCACATTGTCACCCGGAGCGTCCAAAGGGGGATTCGTGATAGCGTTGATTCGGGATTGTTGAGGTTTGATAGCTGCAGCTGAGTTTACAGCAGTTTACATGGAGAATCGTTCTTTCTGTGGTACTGGATGTTTGCGAAATCGAGCGTCTACATGACGGCTGGTTTTGATTTGCTGCTTGATGCGATGTCGCCGATGTGTTTCCAGAGCGGTCGATCGCCTACATGGAGTATGGCTGGTTTGCTTTGCTGTTTGCAGCGATGCCACTGATGTGATTCTTGTGTGGGTGCTTGCGAATTCGAGCGTTTGCCTGGAAAATGGCTGGTTTTGATGTGCTGAGATGCTAGTATTTGCCGTTGTTCTTTTCTGCAGCGTCGTCGTCGTCGTCGTCGTCGTCGTCGTCGTCGTCGTGGTGACATCGATTGGCTCCACACACTGGGGGCCCCTGTAGCTGTTATATTGCTTTCCACTGTCTAGTCTGTTTGTTCTCAGAGGCCGGAAGTTAAAGGCCATGGGCCCAGGTTTTTTTCGAGGCTTGACAATCACCATGTAGGACATCCAAGGAGAAAGCAGGCACAGGGCATGATACTTGGTAACTCTTCTGACAAGTCAATAGCTCTTCTACTGCCACAGTGGTCTCGGTCACCCTGATCGGCGGCGGACACACACTGAATGGTAGGTTTGGTTGTGCTATGACGCCACTGATGTGTGTACGGGTGCGTGCTTGTGAAATCGAGCATCTACATGGGAAACATGTGATTCTGATGTGTTATGATTCCACTGACGCGTGTCTGGCGCGGTGCTTCTCAAATCGGGCGTCTACGTGGGGAATGGCTTGGTTACTCTGTGTTTCGGTCTAAAGAGTCTAGTGGTTGCAACCTTGCTGGCACGGCGTCTACATGGGAAAGCCATGTTGATGTGACCATGATGTGACCTCATCGCATCGCGCGCGTCCCCCCAGACAGCTGTGTTAAACGTAATGTGACTTGACTTAGGGCCTTGACTGTGCATGACCAAGTGCCTGTTGGTGCAGTTTGCAGGTCAAGATTCAGCGAGGTGCCCTAAATTTGGGCATGCATTTGAAAGACGGCCCCCATTTCCTTCTCGTGCTCGGCGTCGATGATGGGGTTGTCAAGGACCGCAGTAGGTCACTCGCTTTGATTTGGAGCCTTATAGCCGTACTGTGCGTTGCCTCAGGACTTCAACAAAACGGTGCCCACTGAGTGCCTAGGAATTGCATTGCCTGGTAGTACCTCATGCGTGCGTAAGCGGCCTTGCGGGACTAGGAGTTGGTGGGCTAGAATCGGCTAGACGTACGCTGACAGTGAGATCGCATCCCTTTCGGGCACTTGTGTGTGCTGAGCGTCCGGCCGATGTGCAACTGAGGCAGCAGATCCAGCAGTCGGACCGAATCGTGGGTGTAGATGGCTTTGAAGGAGTTGGAGCAGCACTCATGGACAAGGCAACGTGCAGAAAATGCAGCGGAGTGTTGCATATGGGAGCCCTGAGTGACGAAGGTCCGAAATGCAGGTCCCGAGGTGACGTTAAAGGTCTTGGCTTGGAGGCGAGGTTGCGGCATGCCAGCAGTCTTCTCTGGCTTCTCTCTCCCCGACTGCTGCGTTTTTTGCAGGCCATAGAATGGACCCTGTGGTGATCTGCAGTGCGGGGCCCTCAGCCTCAGCGCCGACACGCTATGTGCAGATTGACCTGCACCTGTTCAAGCCAGGCGGGCGCGAGGTCCCAATTGCAGTCGAGGATTTAGAGCTCCACGCTGGAAGCAGCCTGAAGTGATGTGTAACATATCAGATCAGCAGCAAAGAGCTTTTGCGAGTTTTCGTTGTGTGCGAGTTGCTGCCGCAGACTGGGCACAGATATTTGCTTGGAAGTGTTGATGTTTTTGTTTCTGCGGAAAGAGGCCTGCCGACAGTGCAGCAACTTGCAATAGCTGTGCACTGGAAATGTCACCTTGCCCACAAGCTCATTGACAAAAAGCAAGTGCTTCTGCTGCTTTGTGATTTCTTGACTTGCTGGACAGGAAGCTGGACCCCTCACGTTTGCCAGATGGCTGTGCCGAGGTGATTTGAAGAGCTCCTGGATAGGGTGCGCGAGGCCCGTGGCAGTCAGAAGCCTACTCACCTGGGCTTCATAGCGATCCTGAGTGCAGGCTTTGCCACAGTTTACGCCACAGGGTTTGGCCAACGTGGGAGCCCAAACCAGGTTCTTTCAGAAGGATGCAGAAGCGCATGGGTAAGATGCTGTGTCGCTTCTGGCAGTCTTGGCTTGGCTCGAGGGTAGCAATTTTCCTCTATTCAGAGCCTCGCGCTGCTGGACAGCTGGAGCGCTGCTTCTGCTTGCACGTGTCGTTTTCCAGAGTTCCGAAGCCCTCGTCGAGAGACCTGTCATTGGAGGACTTGCCATGAGTGCCAAGCTGATAGGAGAGAGTATGACCTTGTATCGGTGCTGTGGCATGTGATTAGCAAAGTTTACATGTTTATTTTCAGTGCAAGCACTACGGACAGTAGCTGCTGGAAGTTACAGCTCAGGAGCATCATGAGGCTTCATCGTTTGAAGCTTGACCCGCAGATGCGCAGCCTGGGGGACACTTATGCAAGGAAGGAGTTCAGGCTTCACACCAAGCCCCAGGCCGATCCTCTTCTTACCTCCGCACTATGCGAGGCTGTAGTCGGGCTTTGCATTACCGTCTCACAGGTCACGGACTCGCAACGCCAGATGTTTCTGCGAGAGTGGAAGTCCTATGTAGCAGCTTGGCAAGACTGCGCTATGGAAGCATGGGCTGTGTGGCTTGTAGTCCATACCTCGCAGGACATGATCAGCTTGCAAGAGACTGTGGTGGGTCGCACGTCTCGAATTAAGAGCAACAGATGCAAGAGAGAAGTTGTGACACAGACACATGGTGTGTTTGTCGCTAGCCCTGCGTTCCAGGCCAGGAGCTCAGCGCCGAACAGAAGGCAAAGCTCAACGACCAACAGAAGGCGAGCGGAGGGCACTCCGGAGCAACTGTTAGAGAAACAAGAGGATAGGCTTTCAGGTGCCTCCTGGGTATACCGCCGCTTTGATGTGAGTAATCGGCCACGCAGGGAGTATGCAGGGTTTCCAAGAGGGCTCTTGCCGTCAACGGACGTGCATGCTCAACGAAGATCACAGCCTGACCACTCGGGGGAGGACTACTAGCTGAAAATGGGTTTGGGGGAGCGGTGTTGCGCGGCTTAACGGCTGGGAACGGAGAGCTGGTTCACTCGGATGGTCTCCCGATTCGGCCTGCCGGGACTGCTTCTGGGCCCGAGGGTGGTGGTTTGCCCGTACATCATAGAAATGCTAAGCTGGGGTTTGGGCCGGTCGGCACTGGCTAGTGTCGATTCTGTCGATCTACCGTGGTTCACCTATATAGTCTGACAGGGAGAGAGCAACTCACTGGGCAGGTCCGAGAGCTGAAGCCCAGAAAGCGATGAATCACCACCCCTCCGGCCCCTCTGAAAGTCGTGGTGCGTGTAGTAGAGTCCTGAACTGGCAAATGCTACTCGCCAGGTGCAGCTTGACAATCTGGAGCAGTCTGCCAAGTCTCTGGCATCTCAAGGAAGCTCATAGCAACCTCACGGTGTGCCTCACAGCAAAGATGTGGTGGTCATGAGCTGTGTGAGATGCTGAGATTCCTAGCATTCCATGTTTCACACTTTCACACCACTTCGTGTCGCGAAGCACGGCGGTGGAAATGACTTCACCGAGAATCTAGACACTCCGTATGTGTTGCCTGAGCTTACTTGGTGCCTGCGGCACTTATCAGTGGTGTGTTGCACGCTTGCTGTTCTCGCGCAGGGCTGTCAGCCAGGATGGTTCAAGCAGGCTGCCATGGCCCGAAACAGCCGCCGCAGGGGCGGCAACTCTCAAGGGCGAGGTAAAGGCGCAAAAAGAAGCTTGAGACAGCGGCGAACTTTGTGTAAGTGTGCGACTGGGTGTGTTGGGTGTTCTGTCAGGGGCAGGCAGAGGTGGAAGAGGTCAGCAAGATGGGCGCCATCCACAGGGCCATCCTGCTCCAGGCCCCGATATCCGGTCGCCTTGCTGTGCTGTCGCATGAGACCTTGAGTGATTTTGCAGACAGGCGTGGTCAGACGACAGAAGGAGAAGCCCTCCCGAGGTGGCCGAGGAAGCGGGCGAGGCAACAAGGGTGGTGCTCGGAGGCGGAATGCTGGGCGAACGAACGCGGGCCCTTTACCGGCCTCTGTGCAGACGGAAGTCAGCGGCTTGGACGGGAATTCCGATGCGTGTCGTTTGGATGGCCAGTCCGTGCAAAGCTGTACCGATCGGCTCCGGATGCTGCAGCATTCGTGAGGAGAAGACGGGATGTTTCGGCACTCTGAAGTGGAGAAAGCGCATGGAGATGCTGTGATGTCGATTGTCATGGCAGCTGACTGCATTTACACCGCTTCGCGTGACAAGACGTTGAAAAGGCCGGATGCTTGTTGCAGGCCTTGTTGTAGTTACTCAGTTATCCAGTCATGTACCATTAGGACGTCGAAGCATTTTTTGTATCAGACCAGTAGGCCGCTTGCAGGTGGAAAGTCAACAGAGCCACGTCTGGCAAGTACGAGCTTTCTGTTGAACTCGAAGTGCCGCTTGGAGATGTCTGTTGGTGTCTCATCAGCGCTGGAGACTGGCTATTTTGTGGCCTTGGCGATGGGAGCATCAAGGTATCTTGCCTTCTCCATGTGTGCGCTTAGCTTGAGTATGAACTGAGCCAAGCTTGCGGCATTGCAGGGCTTCATGAAGTCGGGCACAGAGACGGTACTCAAGGGCCACACGAAACGTGTTGGCTGTCTCATGACGCATCAGCATGTGCTCCTTTCGGGGGCCTCTGATGGGTCTGTGAGATGCTGGCAGATGAATGTGCACACGCAGACCTTTGAATGAAACTTGGCTCAGAACTTCACAAGACACAGCGATTGAGACAGCTAGCTGCTTCACTGAGGCACTCATGCAATAGACGAGGGGATCTCCGGTGCTGTCACGTCGCTCTCGGTTCTTGGCGAAGGACTCTGGGTGGGAGGAACCTCCGGAGTGGCGCTGGAGCCTCGTCTTGTAAGCTTCAGGGCGCTTCCCTTGGCCATGTCGTCGGTTCGGTTCACGGCGCAAACATGATTAGAACGATTTGGTGTCACACCTGAGGTTGAGTTAGCAACTTTAAAGGTTGTGAAGCACCTGGAGCCACGAAGGTTTGTCTCAGGCTGGTTGATGATCGTGCTTTGACCTGTGGCCCTTGTACCTTATACTCCGTTGTCAATGCTGATTAAGCAGGCCTCCTGCAGTTCGATGGCCATATGAAGCTTGGCCTACATACGGGCTGTCGCAGTTGATCGACAGAGCAGGGGCGAAATTATGAACTGAGGATTGTGGTGTATGCCGACGGTAGCATGTGCATTTTCGATGGTCTGGGCGCTATGAAGCACAAGCAGCCAGCATTGCCTGCTGGACCGGTGCTGTGTATAGCCTCCCGGCTTCATAGCCACATTGCTGGCGGAATCATGGCTGGAACGCTGTTCTATCTTGTTGGTTCCATCTGAGGCTGGCTTGGAGTCGGGTCCACGAGTTCTGTGTGGTCACGCGAAAGGTCAAATCAGCTCCATATCCTTACCCGACTTCGTCCTCAAGAAGTATTGGCATGCTTTGGAAAGGTGCAAGGCCGGAGACTTCGGTTGTAGAAGCCTGCGGCTTTGGATATTGATGCCGCTGCAGGTTCAAACCCTGTGCTGCGCTGGCCATGATGGCATTTACGTTCTAGGAGCAGAGAATGGCACTCTGCAGCTTTGGCAGAGGGATGGGTCAGTCGATGCCCTTTAAGCCAAGCATCTCCTCTTGAGCCTGTCGTTCAGATCCGGCATGCGCTCCACTCTGACGTGTGGCAGAGGTACAGTTGCCCGCAGGAGGTTGTTTCACATCGTTTCACCCTGTTAAGTCAGCGGTAGGTGCGACTCACTGGCTCCATCAGCAGCTTGTTTCGTCTCATGGCGAGAGGCACGGAACTCCAGAATTGAAGTGCAAGGAGCCAATGTTGTCGATTACTCGGAGCTAATGAATGAAGAAAGCTATATGAAGTCTCCCGAGTCTTCTTTACTCCGAGGCGGCCTTGACAGGCAGATTTGCGAGCATCCCTCAGCTGTTTAGGCTCCCGAATCGGACGTGCTACGCACGCTGGGCGCGATGTAGGCGATGGCTCGCTCTTCAGGGTCGTACAAGCCTGCAGCATCAATTTGTCTTCGATGTTGCAAGGTGCCCCAAAGAATCAGGCATTAGACAACCATGGTCCAGAACTGACTTGCTGCTGGAACTGCTTCACGTGCCAAGTAGCACTGTGACATGCACACAGGATGCAAAAAGAGGAGGAGGCACCGGAATACTGGTCGGACTGGCCACAACTTATTCTCCGACCTCTCTGGGTTCCAGCTCCTACTGCTATCTCATGCCTGGAAGAAGGCTTCTTAGGCCTGCGCGGCTGTGCTGAGCAGCCGCAGTATTGCTGGCTGGCCGAATTCTCGTCTGAGCTTTCTGCGCGGGCCGGCAGCGGATGGCCAAGATGCCAAGACGTATTGCGAGAACTTGTGCAGCGACACCTCGCGTGCAGGACGTGTTTCACTAAGCCTTCGTGTTCTTCAACTGTCGAGGCCACTTACACCGCAAACCCGGCAGTTTGCCTTGTGAGCCCTGAGACGTGTCTGGCGGATTTCTTGGCAAAGCTCCGGGAACCTATTGGCGCATTGGGCGATCCACCTGTGAGGATAGGTGCCCATCTTGATTCCAAGCTGACGGTCGGTATTGCTGCGCATCCAGTTCTACTGGATGTTCGGTCCATGGAGGCCCTAGTCTCTGAGTTCTGCGAACTCTTCAACGCGTCATTCGAGTCCAGGCTTCCTGTGAGGGACAGATTGGACAGGGCAGACTTCGCTGCTTGGCAGAGGTGTGCAGAGGCTTCGGGGCTTTGGAGCTCAGCCGTTATGCGTCGGGCTCATGCGCTCCGCGAATTTGCTATTCAAACTCCCAGGGATGAACCGAAAATGCGGGTTGCCAGAAACCCCCAAAGCAAGCACCTGCTGGAGCACCTTCATCTTCCAATGACGCAGCTGCGGAGTGCGGCTACAGAACTGCAAGTGACAGAATTGGAGCTTTTCTTGGCTATGTTCGTACTCTTACTTCGAAGCTGGCGACAACGCTTGGTCTTCGGCTTGCCGCACTCTTGCAGACAGGATTTGGACATTGTGGGCTGCTGCACCAACATTCTTCTTGCCTGCCTGAGCACGCCTTCCGAGACTTCGTTGTTCCAGGCAGCCCGTCACGTCCACGCAGAGCTGCAGTCTGCAAGGCGCGATGGCGCAGCCCCGATCGTGGAGATCACGAAGGCCTTGCAGCGATTGGAGTGTTGTGAGCGGAAGGTTCTTTATGACGTCTTCTACGACTGGCGACCCCGTTTTCAGTTGGACCGGGCTGTGGTCAAAGAGGCCTTGGGCGCGGCGTTCAGGAGCAGTTTTGCCGACTTGGAGATTCTTCTTTTGGGCGGCCCTGGCGGCTTTGAAGATGCCGACATCAGCTTCGTATATCACCCTGAAATCATCTCTGCCAGCACTCTACAGCACCTCATGCGACACCTGAAGGCTCTTGTGAGAGGCGCCCACGTTGGGGCGGCCAGTATGACGACAGAGACCTCTCATCTTCTTTCACATGCCGAAGCCTCTCTCCCTGAGCGTCGAGTGACGTGCAGTACGCTGGATTCCCTAGATTCCCTAGATGGCATGCGGGCAGTTGTCGCTGCAGCTCTGCCCCATGATGACATCATTTCCGACGACGTGCCTTTGGACAGCCTGGGTTTGGACTCTGTGTCCGCCGTCTTTCTGCAGGGCCGCCTTTCAGAGCTTTTTGGGCTTGTGCTACCAGGGTGGCTGATAGCTCAGAAGTCAACGATGCAGCTATCTTTGGAGGCCGGGCTTGGCGACCCTTGCGGCGGAAAGGTGGTGAGGGGTAGGCTTCAAGCTCGATTGGCTCATGATACAGACTGGCAAGCTTTGGCCAGTATATGGAAGCAGCATCATCACTTGCTCGAGATGGTGCCGCAGACGACTTGGCTTTTGCTCACAGGGCCGCCGGCTTGGCTTGCGGCTTCTGCTTTCCTGTTGAGCCTCATGAGATTGGCCTGGACTTCGCTAGCTTTGCATTCAGGTGCCTGTGGTTGCCCACCCATTTTCGAGTCTATAGCCGGATGACATTGAGAGCCAGCAGCCCTGTAGACCAAAGATAGAGCCATTCATGGGACTGCACGAGGGTAAGAGCCAGAGCAGCTGCTGGCCTTTGCTTCCCCCGACCCCCCCTGCCCCGCCACCTGTGCAATAGCGTTGAACATCGTGGTGCGTAGACCCTGCAGGTGAGAGTTTGCAACTGCGGAACGACATCTGCTTCAGGGCCTCGGCAGCATATGTGGTTCTGGTCATGCTCCAGCACTTCTTGCACTGGCTGCTGGCGAGATGGGTGCTTTTTTGTGACCTCCGCTTCGGTGAGTTGGCACCAGGAGGATGGAAGAAGGCGGATTCTGCGGTCATTTTGGTAGAAGAGGTCGATGGCTCGGACGGAGCCAAGGTGCTTGGAGTTGTGTGTGTGCGTGCAGGCATGAGCCGTGACAATCATAAACCATCGGGAATCTGCTGGCCGTTTTGTTGTGGGAGAAAACGATTTGCGGTGACGAGAGTGGCGTCTTTGTGGCACGCTGCACTGGTCCCGGCAGCACGGAACCAGGGAGCAGCAAAGATCTTGGTTGACTTCGCAGAAAGCTGGGCGATGGACATCGGGGCGAAAAGACTAGAAGCTGTTTGCCTCAATCAGGCCGCCAAAGCCGCTTGCTGGAACATGGGCCTTGAGCTTTGGAACCCACGGATCGCTCGCTTGCCCTTGGCTCCTGCCTTCTTCAAAAAGGATCTCCGGATCGGAGCGCAGGCGTTCCGTGAGAAGCCCCGCAGCGGGAAGCGGATTCCTACTGACTAGCGAGTCTCGCTTGTTCAGCTTGCACGGAGCTTTAAAGTCATCGACATTGGGACAGATCGATGGGCAAGGACTACGAGAAGTGGCTCGGGTTTCGGGTTTCGTGCAGGTGTTCGTGAGCGCAACACGCTGAATGGGCGCACCTGGTCATCAACGGGGCTGGTTCGCTTCTTTGCAGGCGCGTGCTACAAAGCTCGCCAGCCTTGCAGCGCAGCCTGCGGAGTTGCCAAGCGGTACAAACGGACCCGAGCCTCGTGTTCCTTGGTCTTGTCGAGCCCGAACGCATGTGCGTACGCATTCCCAGGCCGGCCGATGTTCTGGGAAGCCGAAGCTTGGGTCCTCCGCTCAGGGGCTCAGGGTTCTTGCTCGGATCAGCCTGAGCTCCCAACCACCCTCCACAGCCAAACCCAAAGAGGCAGAAAAAGGAGCGACACTTCACAACAGGGACACTTCCGTTCGCGAATTGTAGAAAGGATCAGAAACGAGAAGCCTAGGCCCGAGCCGCTGCCAACGTCTCTGGTTGAATCTTCTCAGACCGCGACTCGGAGACCGGGAGGGCGCCTGGGCCTGCAGGCCTGGGCTGTCAGTGGGGCCGCTCAGCCGCTCAGGCTGCGTATCACGCGGTCTACGGCCATCCAATTGTCAAAGACTTCCTGGGCTTCGGCCGCGCTGCGTTCATACCTTGGCCTTTGTCGCATGCACCACGGAATGGAAAGCGTGCTTCAACAGAGCTGGACTCTGCTGCTATGACGAACAAAGAGCGAACCAGCATGAGAATAGGCAAGCGAGCTACCTTGCAGACGGTAGAGGACACGAGCATCGTTCAGCCTGGGCAGAGCAAATTCTCTTCACTGGACTTGTGATGTTCTGCCCGCGACTGTTTCGCAGCGCACCGGCAGAGTGGACACGGAGGCACTAAGGCTTAGCAAGGGTTTCTACATGAGCCGTCGCGGGCCGTCGCCATGCGCAGCAGATGGCGAGCCTTTCCAGCTGGAGCGACAAGCAGGCCGGAGATGACAGTGCGAAAGTCGCAGATGCCGGCAAAGCCCTGGCCGCAGCCTCCTGTCAGCAAGAAGCGATTCTTTAGCAATGCATGGAACACATGGGACTTCATGCGGCTGCTGGTGTTCTGTCTTGTTCATGACCACTCTCACCCTGGTGGAACCAGCTGCCGCTTTGCACATTATGCTTATGCCAGAAAAGCTGAAAGAGCAGTGCTTCCCGGGAAGTCTGGGTGGCCCTGCGATCCAAGACACGCTGCCTTTGCAGACCCGGGTCCCTGCTCCGGGATTCCCTGAACGTGTCCGAGCGAACGGAAAGGTCTACACTTCAGTGGCCGTCCTGTGCGTGCTAACGATGATCGCCAGGCCGAGCTGATGCAAGTGTCGTAGGTTCGAAAAGCCTTCGTGCTGGCAGGCTGCTTACTGCGCGATTCTACGGGCTTCCCTTCAACCCGCGACACGCGCTGTTCTTGTTGCTCTTGCGCTGCTCTCGGACAGCGTAGCCTGGTAGATCAAACAAAAGCGGGGCTGAACGGTGTCCGTTTCCCGAGGCTACTACTTTTCGTTGTTCGGATCGTGAGCGATCTTTGGGAACTTGGTGCCCAAGCTTGCAAAGCAGTGTTGTTTCGCCGGATGTTGGAAGTTTGAACACATTGCTTGCATTGGCTTCGTTTGGTGGCTGGCCTGCCTCTAAGGTGATGGGAGGCCTTTCATTCATGAAGTCTGGACTCATGACTTGATGTTGGAAAGCTTTGTTTCTCGCAGGCTCGTGGCGGCAGGATCAAAGACATGGATGTACAACCTGCTGTCGACAGGCTAGGGGCCTTTGTGCAGCGATTTCGCGGGCAGCTAAGATTTGAAGGTCCGGTCATCGTTTTCCTCACTATCTTCCTCGTGCTCCTCTATCATCTCACCTGTGTCCTACATTCTATCAGCCTCGCCAAAGAGAGCCTTGAGGTGGGAGTCGCGGTTTGCTGGGACACATGTTCAACTCGTCAGCTCCTTGCTAGGAGGCCTACTGCAGGTCTGTGGCAGTGGGCCTCGGGTCCATGGAGCGCTCCAGCTTCGCCGACCATGGGGTCGTGCGTGGTCTTTGTGGCAGGCACACTGCTGCAGGAGCATTGCCTCAGATAGCGCGCAGCATCATCACGAAAGGTGCAGGGGGAAGGCTTTCCTTACGTATTTCAAGTGCTTCATGGCCACGACAGCGATTACTTTATGGGTGGCTTGTCTTCAAGAGCTTCTCATGTGGGCTGCAGTGCAGCACTCACTGGCTGACCAGGTGCTCTTCGTGGTGGGTTACGTTCCAGGCTGAGCCTTCGCACATCTCTAGACTTGGTGCTGTGTGGGAAGGTGGGACACAATCTGCCCCAAGGTCGCCACACTTCTGGTCAAGGATCGGGGGCAGTGAGTTTACTGCAAATGCGAAGCCAACGGCTGCTCGGGAAACGCAACGAGCCTCTCATCCCGTTTCCGACGCTGTAACTTCAGTAGCAGTTCTGTTTAGATTTCATGTCGACATGTCAGGGCTGCGGATACCAAGCTTGTACGTGTCTGCTCTAGAACTTCTTTCAATCCTTCCATTGTGGACATCTGGCTATGAACCCTTGAGGGGAGCGATGCAAACTCGAGCCCGGCACAGTTCCGGATGAGCCATGCCGCAGCTGCCATCGCAGAACGCTCGAAGCAGCCCCACTGACAGCTGGAACGGAGCAGGCGGAGCAGTGGACCGCCGGAGCTGACCGGAGAGCGAGTCGCTCCGAGAGCCCAGCCACGCCCAGGTTCCGAAAGTGCAGACTTGAGCCCCCGCAGCTTGCCCAGGCCACACGATTGTGTAAGAACATTTGTCTAACTTGTCGATGCGGTATGTGCCGCAAGCAGGTCAGAGCCCGATTCTCCTCTCCCAGTGCCTTTGGTGAATTTGTCTATCCCGATTGCCATGCCATGCTTCGGTCTGCAGATAGCTCTTTCATGTTGCGCTTGCCCGTTTGCTTAACAAGGAGAAGTCGGGAAGGGCGGGGCTCAAGTCAGTTTCTACCGCTGCGAGGGCGGCAGTTCGCTTCAGGCGCGGCAGAAAGAAATATGGATGATGTAGAACTGAATCTGCAGCTGGCATTGGAGGCACCTAGCGACGAGTTCGAAGACCAACGAAGCAAGCGAGAGCTCAAGCGGCGCCTAGACTGGAGAGCCCCTTCAAGGATTTTCCAGCACTGCATGCACTGCCAGGTGCCATGAGCCTGCCCACACTGGCACTGAATTCACTTCAGGTCGTGAAGCACGGCTCATTCGCCGACATCCTTTTTTTGCCGACACTTCCAAAGACTTCCGCGAAGAGACACTCCCTCGCACTCGGTCCTCCTTTGCATGCTGTGGTCGGAGAGCCTTCGCAGTCGCTAGACAGTGTCCTTCTCAGGGTGGTGCAGGCGGTGAGGCCCTACAATGTCGACGCGATCGAGCCCGGGATCTCCAGAAAGGTCAGCGCTGCTCCTTGCCGCTTGGGCTGGCGCCCCATGTTGCCTCTCAGGCGGACTCCCTCTCTGATGCACTCTTCGACCCCCTGCCGGCGATTGTGACCAACCAGGCCAGCGCCTTCATCCCAGTGACCGGATCGTGTCGATGTAGCAGAGGTCATCATGCAGCCGGGCTGTCGTGTTCCTGACGAGAGGATCCATGCCCATCATGTTGTTTCATCTTGATGCTGTGGAAGCAGTGAATCGGCATGAGCTGGGGTGTGGTGGACATTCTATTACTGGATGAGGAAAGGCATTGTCTTGGCCATTGGTGACCCTCAAGACTTGCAGGCAAGCTTCCATCTCAGGGGCTGGCGCAGCGGACATTTGTGACAGCCAGGTTCTGTACAATCAGACCACGCTCAGCTCCGACTTGCACGACAGCTTCATCCCAGGAGTTGCTGGCCAGGCCAGCTCTGCGTCTGTATGGTGCTTCACTTGCCAAGTACATCAGTGGAACAGGATGTCGCGTTTCAGCTAGTGGAGCAGAGCTTATTCCGTGTACAGCGGGGGCCCCAGTTGCCGCCAAGAGCTGCGTGCCTTCTGGCTCGCTGTGCTCGCTGCAGGAAGCGGCCTTCGGCGGATCTTTGCCTGCTTCGTGCGGACGACCTGGAGCGCTTGTCACAGAGGCCGGTTACATGTCCCCCCGCCACCAGTGGAAACGCGAGATGTTGCGAGGTATGGTGAGGATTATCAGAAGCTGCATCAACGTGCACGAAAGATGACGTGCAGCCTCATCCGGGCATGGGCTCGAAAGCTTCTCAGCCAAAGCCGGGGCAAAGCCGGGCCCGGGCCCGGGCCGTGCGCGACTCAGGTTCCATATGCGCTGCTATCCCAAGCTTTTCTGCAATGTTTCCCAGGACCCCGAGTGAAAAGCTTCGAAAAGAGCAGTGCCACATACAGCTTGCAGGAATTCATGTCCACCTTCGCGGATTTGATGCAAGTAAGAGTCCATGCAGCCGGGCAAACGATCTGCGCCGAGGGAGATCCTGGTAATTTTGGTTTCTTGCCACATCTTGCCACCTTTTGGTCCATGCGGTGTCTCGAGTCTTGGGCGAGGGTGGCCGTCCCAGCCGAGGCTTCTACCTCCACTCAGGTGCCGGACACAAACGGACTTGCAACAGGGCATAGGGGTGCATGACAGGACGCGCGCTTGTGTGTCGGGGCAGCGCTTCCATTATCAGATTGCTTGTGCCTCAGCCGGTCCAGGACCTGCCAGGTCCCGTAACTTGGAATCCGCCCAGGTCTCGAGAGCAAGACGGTGCTTGGAAGAGTTGGTGGGGAATGCTGGAGGCGCTGCCCGCACAACTTCACGAAGGGCAACCTCGGGTTCCGTCGCTAGGGAAACATATGAAGCCTCATCAGGACGCTTTCCCTTTCTTCCTAGTTGTCGATCTTGTAAACCAGAAAGGCTTTGTGTGCTTTCAACATGTGTGAAGGTAGAGGAGGGGAGAGACAGAAGGCTCACGGCTCACAGCTTGTCTTCGCGGGGTGCAACAGTACTGCAGCAAGTGGCTACAATGCTAAGCGCCGGAGAGCCGACAATCATCTCATTTCGAGGGCCGGCAAGAAAACGCCAGCTATTGGTTACCGACCCTGCAAGTTTGCTACCCGCAACCGGTTGCACAAGGCAGAGCGCTAAGCGAACACTGGGCCCAACGCAAATCCGCCATGAACCACTACGCAACATGCACTCACCGAAAACTGTCGCACCTCACTTCATGCATTCGGCCGGCCTCCCAGTATGGGCGACAGATGAATAAACCCTGCCCAGTCGGTCAATGCAATAGGCAAGTTTACAAGCATTTTTGGGGAACTCTTATGATGTTCGCATTCTCGGCATTGAATCCCTCCGTCGCATGCCGGGAGGTTGGTGCAACATGTGTTGAGCAGACTCTCGCCGGCATTTGACAGCAACTGCCGTCCGGTGCACATTTGACAGTTTTGGCCCGGCCGCTCAGGACTTGCACTGTGGTTGTAGGAGGCTCAGATTTGTCCGGTGAAGGCTTCTTTGCCCAGGTGCGATGCAATGTCTACCGAGGCCGAGAGCGACTGCGTGGCATGGGTGTTGCAAATCAAAGACTCGGAGGCTGGGCAAGGGCCAGGCACAGCGCTGACGTGCTTTGGGCTTTGGGCTCCGTGTCGAAGGAACTCCGCGTGAAGTTCCCGCGCGAGAGCGGCCTTTTCGATCGAATCTCCATCAGGCCACTCCAAGCCTGCTTTGTGTGTTTCTCTCTGTGTCTTTTACTACTGAGAGCAAGCCCTTTTCTGTGTCATTTGAGGGAGGGTTGGATGTGCAAATGCAGGATGCGCAAATGCACAGCCTGCAGAACTCTGGCTCACAAGGTTTGATGTGAGCTCGGCCCCTCGGCCAGTCGCTATGCCGTCCGGCAAGAAAGAGCGCCAAAAGTCATGTCAGTGCATTCCAGGAGCAGCTTGTGTGTCACTGGTTTGCGTCGCATTTGCGAGCCGCTACAACATGCAGTTCGTAAACCATTCTCGGCAAGTCCAGTCCAACATGCACACCAGCTCAAGACCTGGCACGTCGGCAAGGAGCAGAGGTTCCAGGATTGGCATGCTTGCGGTGATGGAACCTCCTACACGCAATGCACCCCCAGAGACAGCCGAGCCTACGCAGCAGGATGCATCGGCTTGGGCAGAGTGCATCATCGAGGAGTGTGATACAGAGGGTTGTAGAAGGATGGAGAACTGGGTTTTCCGCAAAGAGCATGCCACAGACTATCAGGCCTTTTTGAACGTTCGAAACGTGAAGCCGCAAGGGTTCCTGCCGTACCATGGACAGACCCAGTACAACACCACAGTGCTTTGTAAAGAGCGGTCGGTGGATGTGTCGTTGAGTTGTGCTGAGTGTGTGCGGCTGATCATCGGCGGCCCCTACGGGGCACGCGGAGTCGCAGTTGCGGCATTTCCTTCACAAGATTCCGTGCTTCCCTGCCTTGAGCTTTCCAAGCCACTGCCAGTCACGAAGCCACAGTCGGGCGAGAGATGGGATGGCAACCAGGAGAAGCCGAGGCAGACTGCATTCTGCAATGTCCTGAACCTAGGCATGTGAAGCTGTGTGCTGTGAACTAGTCGAGTTCGATCGGGCAAGTATCGCACAGGAGTTTTCCATTTGTCAACAAACCGGCCCTGCGAGCTACATAGTGCTTTTAATTCGCAGCCCGAACCGTGGCTGAAGTGTACAAAGAGAGGTCCCCTTTAAGATTTTCCATTCACACACGTGTGGGCCTAGCACCAGCAATCAATTGAATTGTAAAAGACGCTTCTCTTGGGAGAGCGGAAGGCTCTCCCAGCCGACACCTAGAATTTCGCCCTTAGCCAACATTCCTGGCATTGACACGTGCCTAAGGCTATATCGGATATCACGCTACGCAAACCGCCCTCGCCACACATTTGCTTTGTCTTTCGTGTATCAAGGGCCCGGAGGCCGTGTCCGCCTTGTTCAGCGTTTCACACGTCTCCGAGAGCCTTTGCCAGGGCAGTCCATGTCAAGAAGTGGCATGTGTACATCCAACCGCAGGCATGGAAACCTGAGATGGGACAAAGTCCCATGGATCTCAGCCGAAAACAGGAGGTCTTGTGGTCCAGCTTCAGGTACGGCTGCGTTGGATGCAGTCCCTCACTGTCTGAGGCATCTGCAACTTCTTAGCCCGCACATGGATGGCATGCAGCTTTCCAGCATCCAGCATCATTCGGCTTTCATTGATGCCGTGCCCACAGCACAGCAAAGTCAGGCGAAGTATTGCAATGTTCGCTGACTGCGGTCAAGAGTTCCAGGAGATGCTGAGCAGCAGCTTGGCAGATGCCCTGCCACGTGAAAACATGTGGTGCGAGAGTGCGGCAGAGCTGAGGCAACTTCGTGCAGAGGACTGGCCGATTCCCTCGCACCCGGCAGAATCGGAAGTTTGCACCCGCAGGATCTGCTCAAGAGACGAGGTTGTCGTGCAAGAAGGAGAGTTTGGAGAGGAAATGTTTGTCCGAAGCCTACACAATTATTGCCTCCGCCTCTGTGCTCGCATCGACAACGTGTGGAGAGGTGCTGGTGCTTGGGAAGTGCAAAGTTCTTAGAAGAGCGGTTCTCAGTCTCGTCGTTTCTCCTTGGCCCTGCTTGGCCCTGGCCTCTGTGGCCTTCTGACGGCCAGGTGGCAGCGACCGGCCTCCTGGTTGGATTGCGCCTGACTGCTCTTCACGCCGCAACACAGTCCTCCTTAGCTTAGGTTCAGTCGGCTACATCCTGGAAGCTGCTTTGGAGGCCTCGCTGCCCTGGGAATTTCCAAGACGCGAAAAGAGACCGTCATGGCGACTCGGACTGACCCATATGAGCTGACGCGCGTCATCCGCCGAAGTTTGTTTATGTGAGACCGGCTCTCTACAATTCTCTAAACAAGGCTGACACCGTGTGTGATATCCGGGCGCTTAGCCGCAAAGCGCTCTTGGCCGTGCTCGATAAATTCCCGGAAGAGGAGGAGCCACTCAGCCCGCACTCAGCTGAAGGTGGTCAGGGGGCATTGCATGGCATTGCCATTCCCATTTCTTGCTCGTTTGAGGCGAATGATGGCCATCGTGGAGGCACACAGCCAAAGCAGGAAGGCGAGGCAGACTTGGTGCCCAAGAGTGCAACTCGCAGTCACAGCCATGGCTGTAGGCGGCCTCCCTGGCATTGGAGCAGGCCAGCGCCGGCGAGGGAGGCTTCAGTCAGGACTTCTAGCTAGAGCTTCTCATGGGACCTGGGGTCCAAGCATTCTCACGGCCCTCGGTCAGGATTTCATTCGAATGCTGGTGGACAACATGTAACTTGGACATACTTGGACTAGTATGCAGGCTGGAAGACCCGACGCGGTCCGGAAGCATTACAAGCCGGTACGCTGCTAATGCTACTTGTGCGCCCATTCGGATCTAGATCGATCTAGATCAGCGAGGAGCTGCACCCTAATGAATAAAGAGCTCGAGATTCACGCAATTGCCGCCTGAAGAACTGTTCCCGAGTCAGGCGACAGTGATGAATTCCATGTTCTGCTTATTCATGTGCCACACTTCCGCGAGCCACAGCAAGTCGAGACACCGGTGCAAACACGCAGCATGGTTTGGGCCGACCAGGAATGTGGCGGAACAGTCGAGGATGCTTCTGGAACGGATATCTGGCCACTACACCCTCCGATTGCGATTGATTAAGCCGCGCATGCTCCGGCGATCTACCCTCTGAAGACGACGGTCAAAATTACGGCAGTGTACAACTGACACTGCTGTCAAAGAGCCTTTCGGGCTCCACGCTCGCGGCCAAACTCATCGAGCCGAGGCCCTGTAAGTCCACAATCCCGCGTGCTGGAGTCGGTTCGTTGTATTTCCAGCCGCTTGCGGCACACGAGCGGTTCCCTCGTCGTATGAGTTCCAAGCAAATGAGAGCTAAGGTATGAACAGCCCTACATGGTGAACCAGGTCATCCTGCAGCAGGGGATGCTAGGCCTGCCTCGTTGTCCCATGACTTTGTCCGATGTCCGGACCGTGCTGGCTGGGCAAGGCACCCATTTCGTGGTACTGGTGCATGGAATTGTGGAGATTGAAGCGAATGGAATGGTAGTCGCGACCGTGATGCTTGGAAGCAGGGAGAGCTGAGAAATGTCAGTCATGAACAGTTCATTAGGGGGTATATTAGGAGTGCGCTTGCAGTTGCAGTCGTGAGCCCAAAACGCTGAGGAGTGCTCCAGGCATCTTCGGCGAGCGTGGCTTCCTGGTATCCGGCAGTCGAAGTCCCCCAAGCGGCACGCAGACTCGAACCTTTGCCGTGTCGTGTACCTTCCTTTTCCGCTTTTTGAGGTGGAGCAACGGTGAGATGCACCACCGTGGCCGAGTGCATGATGCTCCCTGTCGACGGCCCATCCACGCCAGTGACCTGCCACTATATCGGAATGAGGAAGCAAGAGCAAGCCTGCCCCCTCACACTCCTCGCCCTGCTAAGAGACACAAACCGAAGGAAAAGGACACCAACAGAGTCCCTCCTCCGAGCAATCCTAAACAAGTTCGAGGAAGGAAACAACAACCTCAAAACCTGAACTTGGATTTTCGGCCAAAGCCTAAACGTTTCGGAGTCCCGGACAAGAATCCCGGGCAAAGGCGGTACACGCAGCTTAGAAGTGGCACAACTAGATTGATTTCAATGCGACCTCGAGACTGCTCGACGGAAGTAAGGGAGAGCCACTGTCTTGAATCTATGCGTGGTTAGGTCGGTTAGGTGCTTGACAGAATCACGGTGAGCGTTGCAGCCGTCCGGGAGGATTCGGGGAACACAGGTCAGAAACTTGAACTGATTTCCGCTGATGTGACTACTCTCCAGAAGCTGAGACACTCCCATCTTGTCGTCTGTGAAGATTTCGAGATTGAATAGGTCAGAAGCTGACCCCAGTGATGTGCGACATCTCAGTTGTCTGAGACCGTTCCTGTGGTCTTGTTGATTTGTGGCATGTGGGCGCCTCTGGCGAAGATGACACTTGATAACAACTATCCCTAGCTGACACGATGGTGATGCACAAGCAGAATCACCTCTGACAGCTGAGCTTCCGGGCGCGCTTGTGACGTCGCGTGTGTGCCGTGATGATAGAGTCTCAGCTTGGAATTCCTCGTTTCGCTCAGGGTTCCTTCCCGATGGCGATGTTGCGAGACATTGTCTGGACCGCTGAGCAAATCATTTGTCTTTGTTGGCTTGTGATGGCCACACCCGGGAGGAACGGGAGAGATTGAAGCCGACTCTTGCGGCTGAGGTTTTCTGACGACTGCCTTGAATGCATGTCGCAGTTGCGTGTGGTGCATGCACAGGGCAGAGATTGTTCTTCTCTGCGCCGATTGTGCCGGAGCTATGCCAAATTATTTGACGAAACAGCACTCGGAGGCATACACAAACACGAGTCGAAGTTGGAGTTGAAGCATGCTGAAGCTTGAACGAAGAGTGCAAGTATAGTCATTCATGCAGTCCCCACCTTCCTTGTGTGCATTCATTCTTTTAGCTTGCTGTGTTCGCTTCTGCCTGCAGTTCCAGTTCCAGATTTGATAGGTTTTGGTTCCACGCCCCAATTTTGTCGCCAACGGTCCGACGGTTTGTGTTTCTCACTTTCAGGCGGCGTGTGGGCATGCGATATGATATGCAGCGGACATGCAAGAGCTGAATCCGGGCGGATGACGGCGGATGCGAGCGCGACCGCAAATCTCGCGCTGACGATGGACCTCACATCAACTGAACAATTCTCTTGGTGCGTCGTCCGTTCGGCGCCCCGTGACCAGGTGATCCGGCAACTGTACCAGGCTGACATCCAGACGCTTGGCGAGAGAATATAGAGTTCGCCGCAGCCTTCCAAGCTCTTGCGCTGGCTCAAGTGAATCCTCTTTACGATTGAACGGGTCTAGTGGGCATGAAGCCAGAATGAAGCCAGATGGGCACCAAGAAGGACAAATCCAAAGACAAGAAGGCGTCAGGCAGGAAGAAGTCAAAAGCCAAGAAGAAAGAGAAGCACAAGTCCAAGAAGAAAGAGAAACACAAGTCCAAGAAGGCGTCATCCTGTTTCCGTTTGCTGGGGTGGTCATAGTCTTAATATTCATTAGCCCTGTCCAGGCCTACAAAGATGACAGCAGCAGTTCATCAACCTGCTCGCACGAGGCTCTTGTTTGTCTCCCAGCTTACAGTCCATTGCCATTTGATTCTCTTGCAGGCGACGCCGAAGGCCGAAGCCCCCAAGGCCCTTGACACGGGAATCGCGCAGGAGATCCGGGCTGCATTGAAACGGCGCGCCGAGACTTGCTTGCACCCGCAAGGGTTGAGTCAAATGCATGGGCATGCCGCATGCCTCTGCCGAAGAAGCTTCTGAGGAGGGCGAATCCGCCACGGACGTGGCCACAGCGAGGGATGATGCATTGGGTCGGCATGATGCGCGGAAGACTCTGCTAGGTCCAAGTCGAGATGAAGTCCTGAGCGAGTCACAGAAGGCAGAGCGGGATGCCCTGAACCAGGAGGCCGAAGAAGTCCTCAAACTGCACAGGGACCTTCGGCTCCGTGCAGGGACCGGAATGTGAGCCTTCAACGCCCGGCCGATTCGCGTTGAAGACGTTGACCACATGCTTCAAGGACCTGGAAAGCTGGCGAAGGCGCCCTGCAGCACAAGGTGTTAGCCTGGATCGAGTCCCGAAACGCGCAGACGTTACGATGGCCGGCTGCACGGCGCCTGCGAAGAAAAGTTGCGTCTGTTGGGTTTGAGAGCATGGAGACGAAGCGATTGGAGCAGCGGTAGCGCCCCACCAGGAAGCAAATGCCTGCGCTGAGGAAGTTGGAGCGCATGCTCCAGAAAAAGATGCAGTCAACCGTTCAAACATTGTCTCAGAAGGCCTGCCAAGACAGCTTGGCTGCTCCAATGGCCTCATGCTTCTACAAACGTCTGCCTCGCAGGGTTCGAATTTACCACAAGCTCAGCCGGGCACTTGTGTGACGACACCTGCTGCGGAACCACATGCTTCCTTGAACCTGAGGCAGAACACAAGCTTCCTCAAGAATTGTGACCCGTCCTTCCTTACACGCATGGCGCAGCATTTGGAGAAACAGGCCTTGAGTGGCCTAATGCTGAACTGAGCTGGCCTTGCTGCGGTCCCAGCGCTTGTCAGGTGTTCATGGCTGGACAACCTTTGCTTGAAGAGGATGTTGATGCAGGATTCTGCCTGCTTATCCAACAAGGCAGGGAATGCCTGTCTCTGTGCAGCATGGCGCAGCGTAGTCCTTGTACCCTTCATCGTGCAGGCGTGGCATGCGTGGAGAAGGCAGGCTGGACCCCCAGGTTGCATGCATCGTTTCCCTTCGGCCGAATTCTTGTGCGACCGGCTTGTTCAGCAAGGCAAGGTCGTGGCAAAGATCGGTGCGGGAGAGAATCTTGCATGCAGTGACGGTTTGCAGAAGTGGTGCTGGGTTCACTGTAACGGTGTGCTGAGGTTCATAGGTGAGCTCGTGGCTTTGGGATTTGCGACTGCTGCTTCCCAAACTATTCGGGCAGAAGAAAGGACCGTGCATGAAGACGTCAGAAGCAAAAGGCGTAGCCGATTCCGAGCCGCAGGGTGCTGGCGTTCGCCATAAACAACGATGCATTCCGGGAGCTGGTGGACGAATTTCCGGAGGAAGCAACACCGAAATGAGCTATTCGCGACCTTGTGATGAGCTCGAAAGGAGAAGCAGAAGCTTTTGGAGCTGGCCCGACAGCGCATGCAGGCCCCTGCGCACGGAGACAGCGCGGAGCAGCACAACTGCCGCCGCACTGCACGGCACTGCACTGCGCTGCGCTGCGCTGCGCTGCACTGCACTGCATGATGCTGAGAGGCCAATGCTGGGCGGCGGCGGAGTTCGCGAGGTTTGTTTGGTCGACCGGATCTCCTCAAGGTGGCCTGCCTTTCCCGACGGTTGGAGACTTGCACACCACTTGAGTCAGGCGGTGAATGTTGTTGCGGCATTCCAGAAGAGCGAGGAGCGACGATCCTCTCGAAGTCTGACCGGTGACTTCCTCTGCAGGCAGGACATTCCCCGACCTGTGCTGAGAGTCATGGCACCAAGGCGAGGGCGTCTTACTGCAGCCGGAAGACACTCAGCAGGCATTCGAGGTCTGCGGGTGACCCACTGCCGCCAAATCATGCAGCAGGTGCGACGACTTCCCGGCTACCGGAGTGGTGTCAAATGGGTAAAGCAACGACGCGCAGCGCTTGAGGAAGCAACGTGCCACGGATGCAGCAGCCAGCACGCCCGCGTGAACAGATTCAATTCAGCAGTTTGTTGTGCACGAAGGTATGTAAAGCTGAAGAGAACCACACTCAGAAACCAACAAGCACCCGGTGCCGACCTCAGCACTAGTGACAATAGTCTTCAAATGGAGCCCATCGTAGTCGCTGCAACTCCGTGCCGAGGCGACGAGTTTGAGCCGTTGATGCCGCTGCCTCCACTCCAGGGCTATCGACCCCCCGAGAAAGGCCCAGGAACACCTTGGTCTGCGCAGTCGCAGCGTCAGGCAGGGGTATCATTGAAATTCCTTGACAAAACGTGCGAAATCTTTGTCTCTTCTTGTGCTTGAGCAGGCCATGCCTGCGTCTGTGATGAGGTTGCGCAAATTCAAGAAGCTGTATGGGAGGCGGGAGGTCTACGAACACAGCCGCCGGGCCTTCGCTAGAATCCACTCACATCAGGAACGTCTGGCTCGAGACGTGCATTCCGTGGAGCCGACCCAGCATGTGCCACGGCGGCCAAGATGGTGCTGACATCTTCTGTTTTCCTTCGATGCAGTACTTTATGTGTCAACGGATCGTAGACCCCCGCCGTCGGGCAGCTCAACGCCAATCGCCGGCCTTGTGAGGGAGGCCAGCGTGAGCCCTTGCAAAGTCCAAAGTGTCGGGGGGACTTGAGCACCGAGCCATCCGGATGACAAGGGCAGCTCTACAGCTACACGGCCTCGTCCTTTGGAGCTGAATGACGACGCGCAGGTCCCGTTTCAGTTGTTGCTTTGGCCCTTAGCCAGAAATTCCAAAGGCATCTGACGCTCCACTCTGCTCCACTCCACACGACACTTTCCAATGTACAAGGAGGGATAAGACGAAACTTCTTCATCGAACTGCAATCAGCCTTCGCTTCCTCCATGCTCACCCGCTTGCTTACCCGTCCGCTTCATCAGCTGGATTTCCACAAGTGCTCGTATGCAGGATGAGGTGGCTGTCACGATGGAGCCTGCCTCACCAACTTCGCCGGAAGCAGCGCAAGCTTTGAGACATAAGCTTGCCGGAACACTCGCCCAAGCCCCATGCGATTATGGACAGCCCCGTTAAGATACAGCTACCTCATGCTTCCGAGGCGCCCTCTATGTTCGAGCAGATGCACAAGTGGTTCTCAGCTGTGCAGGGAGATCACGAAGAGGAGCTGCTCAAAGACTATGCCAGCATAGATCCTCAAGCAGTGAAAGGCCACGCACTGAGGACGACCGGGACCACCAGGCCCATCAGTTTGACCACGACGACCACGACGACCACGACGACCACGACGACCACGACGACCACGATGACCGCGACCACGACGAAGACAACCACGACGACCGCTATGACCACGACGACCAGGATGAGCAGGACGACCACGACCACGAGGATCACCACAAAGAGCACGACGAACACCACGAACTACCATAACGACCACGAGCACCACGATGAGGACGACTGCTGCCAGCAGCACCAGAAGCACCAGGAGCACCAGAAGCACCAGGACCACCAACACCAGGACCACCAGGACGACCACGGCTGGAGGCAGGCACCATCCTGAAATTCGTTTCTGCCCCCATGATCTAAGGTAGAACCCATGGGCC